TAATTTCATCATTACAAAAATGTAAAAATATTTACAAGTATCATTTTATTGTGTTTTTCAGTGCACGTTCTCAAACTGACGTCAATTTTGACCCAGACATTGTTCTAAATACCACTCGCAATATTGTACTCTTCACTCTAGATCACCGACATTAAGAGCATGGACTAACCTTGGAATATAAATTTTCCAATGACATCGTTGCATAAGGCGAGAACACGCAGTGAAAAAAACAATAAGATGATACTTTTAAATATTTTTCCATTCTTGAAATAATAAAATTATAATAAACACCAAGTGTACAATTATTCAAAATGTGTATACATTTTTGGGACACCCTGTATTTTTTCAGAATATACGTTTTTTTGCAAGAGAAGCAGGTTGAAGTATCATACCTTCAGGCTCCTGATGCCACTAACAACGACGAAAAATTCGACCATTGTACTTTACCATACTTAAAACAGCCAGGTTCGTAAAATGGCATCGTAAATATGAAATTATTGTCAAAAGAACGTGAACGTAAACGCGCAAGCCAGCAAATCCGTATCTTTTCAGAACTCAGGTTAAGGGCTAAAGCTCCTTGCAGTCAGAATTTACAAATTTCTGGCAGGAATTCCTTCAACCAGCTTGATACTTTGGAGAGCCAAGGGGACGAACGTATGTCGAAAATTTCCAAAACGCTGCCCTATGGGCGCAACCCACCCCTCAGGAGACCGGGAGCATCACGGGGCAGGAAAATCCGGGCCAGTGCGGTGAACACAGTTTCGACAGGTGTGCCAGGACTCTGCATCTCCGAAGCCTTGTAGGTTTTAAGGGCTTTCTACAAAGAGATATGAAGTAGGACAAGGAAATGAGAGCATATCACATTACGCACATTAACTTTATGGTTTCCAGAGCAACCGAGGTCCAAGTTTCGGGGGGTAACGATCAGGAAGAGAAAACCACTTACCAGGTGACAAAGCAGTTGAACAACGAGCAAACGTCGACTGAGAGAGATTGAAGAGACTGGGACAACAGACCTCAGATATCACAACGGCCAGACCAGTTGATGAAGTCTATACCTACCTACCTATCCCAAACAACTGAAATTCGATATCACGAGGGCTCCATACGTTCCAGTTGGATATCAATTTTAACCGAAGTGGCGACTTGCACACAAACACAGCCACATTCTCAACCAGAAACGCATCCGCCAAGTCGCTGAGTGAATCAACAACTGTAGTCTTGATGCCGAAAACTGTCCGAAAGCCTGGGAATAAAGTGTCCCCCTAAACGTAGTAGCTATTCCACCAACCACGGGTTAGGCCGACACATTTTATTTTCCAGCGGTATTTGTGCGCACATTTATGTGCGCAGTCACAGGTTGGGGGTTTTATTTGACGGAACAGAACATTGGCTCGAGACGGCTGCTGTATTAGTCTTCATTGTAGTTGTCAGTTTAAAATGGTTATAAATGCATATGCAGGGCGTGACAATAGTAATGTCATCAAATTGCAACCGAAGGAGTAGAGTGCTATGGTTGGAAAATGGGAAAAAGCAGAAAACAAAGTTAATTTTTGAAATCGGATGTGACTGTAAACCTGGGAGAGGTGGTAAACACTTTCTCCATCTAAAATACAGTGAACACCAGCACACCAAAAACCTGAAATATGCTACTTTTGCGAACATTGAAAAGTTGGGCAGGGCGAAGGAAGAAGAGAAACGACCCAAAAACCTGGGCAAAGTCGCAAAGTACCTGAAAGTCGGCGAAACTCTGTCTTCCGTCTGTGGTAGGCAAGTCGGTGGAATTGTTCAACAGGAGTTCCTTCACAGCTTTTATGTAAACAGCAGGTGCGACACCGACCCCAGTCTCTGGAGATACATGCTCCTTGACAAGTTTCAACTTCTTGGCGGCGTGCTGGCGATTTAGTAGGCGAGACTGGAGAACTTCATCCTCCCCTCTTACCCGCTTGCGGTCCCCATCCGGTGGGGATGTCTGCGATTGCTACAAAACAAAATGACAAAAACATGCCTACTAGTGACAATTCAGTAACCACCCTTGTATGTATCACAAGA